TGTTAAGATTCTTTAACCTTTCCTGGTAAGTTTTATACCGCAATCCATGAACCAGTTCAGTAGCCCTTCTCTGAACCCTCTCTAAGGTATCAATATCCTTCTGAAGATACGGTCTCCAGTACTGTGTACAATACTCCAAGTGATGTCTCACCAGTATTCTGTATGTAATGTAATGGCTTTTAATTATGTGAGATCTAACAAAACAACTCACTTATCATACCAAACCTTACAAATACCTACCAAATGGTCTTATTCGACTGTGGTTTCAGAATATCGTAGACTTACATTTTCATATTTAAATGCATGCTACCAATTTGATGTGCTTTTCTCCAATGTACAATGCTATTAGGAAACTGCACAAATAACTAGCTGAACTAGGTCATGGGACACAAGTCTGTAAATCATTGTTAAATATGGGACAACTTGGTGGTAGCTTATTGATGATGTTCCCAATGTTTTAACGTATGTATTCCTGAAAAGTAGAAAAGTTTATAAAACAGATTTTGGTTCCACAGAGCAGCCAAAGGTGTACAAATCCATTGAATAAATCTATCTTCTCCTCCCTATGCCTTTAACTAGTTAGGCTAATAAACTATGTGGCTCCTTGGTATAAAACCCTCAGGGCCACCATCTGTAGATTCAAAAGAGGCAGGTCTTATATAGTCAAGCACTGGTAACTTGGTCTATGAATGGATCATGCTGAATAAAAATTAAATAAAAATTTCAAATTAACCTCTGACTGCTAGAAAGATTTAGGGTATTTACAACTAATCTTTTAACATTTTATAAATACATCCTAATTAAATATTTGTATATGTATATTATATGTTCCCTCTGCAGTGCAGAGGTATATTACATTGGTAAATATATTACAGGAAACACCATCACTAATTAGTGGGTGTATAGTCCAATGATTCTCTTATTGCTAGACAGCCCAGTAAAGTGGTAAGATAACATCTGGTATACAGATGTTATCTATATACTGAGTTACTATAAATTGCATAAGTTACTATATATAAATTACAGAGTTACTATAAATTGCATAAGTAGATCTTTTTATCTGCTAGAGATTAGACATAGATAATATTTGTGTGTGGTTATATATATATATATATATATATATATATAGTGTAGTTTGGATTAGCCGTATTATTTCAGTAGACAAGATGACAAAATACCAGAGTATTGCAGTATGCAATGATACCTTTTTTATTGGACTAACATAATATTTCAAAGACAAGCTTTCAAGAGTTGTTCTCTCTTCTTCAGGTCTGAGCATAGGCTGCGCACGGGGTGTGCCTGGGCACACCCTAATCCCCGCCGCACGCCTATGGAGTGAGAGTGGCAGGGGAGATCTCAGGATCTCCCCTGTCGGCTCATGCAGAGCCGGAACTATCCGAGCGCCAGCTCTGCTCTAAGCCTCCCCTCACCGACCCACAGGCAGTGAGGGAGGCAGGAGAGGACCCGGGGAGCTCTTGCCAGCAGCTCTGCCGGGTTCCTCTAGCGAAATCTGAGCGTTGCCGCGGCAACACTCAGATCTCCCGAGAGTGAACTCTAGCCCCGCAGGCTAGAGTTTACTCACCACTAGACCACCAGGGAAGGCAGAAAGGATCCCCCCTCCCTACATAAGGTAATAAGGGAGGGGGGATATTAAGTAATCTGCCCCCACCTCCACTGGACCACCAGGGAAGGCAGCAGCACGGTCCCCCCTCCCTACATAAGCTAAGAAGGGAGGGGGGATATTTATTAACTAATCTGCCCACACCTCCACCCCCACAATTCACCCAAACATACAACACACACACATACAGCACACACACAGCACACACACACATACAGCACACACACACATACAGCACACACACACACACAACACCCACACCCACACAGCAAACAAACAGCACCCACACACATACAGCATCCACACACATAGCACCCTCACAAACACACACACAGCACACAAACAGCACCCTCACACACAGCACACTAACAGTACCCTCACAAACACAAACAGCACCCTCACACACACACAGCACCCTCACACACACACAGCACCCTCACACAGCACACTAACAGGACCCTAACAAGCACACACACAGCACACTATTAGTACCCTCACACACAAACAGCACCCTCACACACAGTACATTAACAGCACCCTCACAAGCGCACACACACACAAACAGCACACACACAGTACATTAACAGCATCCTCACAAGTGTGCACACACACACACCTTCACTCACATAGCACACTACCAGCACCCTCACACACACATAACACTAACAGCACCCTCACACAGCAGTGTATGTGTGTATATATATATATATATATATATATATATATATATACAGATATATATACACATACATACATATATATACGCAGCGTGTGCTTGTGTTTTAGGGTGCAAACCCTAATGCAATAGGCTGCGCACGCCTATGGGTCTGAAGCAATATATTTAACAAGTAAAGAAGGTTTAAACGATTGGTCCCCACTTTTGAACTTTGGAAGCGATTTGTTTTTAAAAAAAAGGGTCTCTAAATAAAAATTACCATGGAAACAAGACAATGTCCTACTAATATAGGTTTTCATACTGCTCTACTTTAGGACACTGCTTATAGGTTCTTCAAGTTGCTGCAGTAATTGCTATTTACATATAGGCCTACACTGCTTATACACACACACACACTGTATGGACAAAAATATTGGGACACAGTTCTTCATTATTGATTTCAGGTGTTTAAATCAGACTCATTGCTACAGGTGTATAAAATCAAGTACCTAGCCATGCAGTCTGTATTTTCAAACATTTGTGGAAAAATGGGTCATTCTGAAGACTTCAGTGAATTCATGGTACTAAGTCAGTTCATGAAATGTCATTATTGCTAGATATTCCAAGGTGCTGTGAGTGGTATAATTGGAAAGTGGAAGCGTCTAAGAACAGCATCAACTTAGTCACGAAGTGGAAAACCACATAAAGTCACAGTGCAGGGTCGCAGCATGCTGAGGTACATGGTGCGTAGAAGTCTCCAACACTATGTTGATTCTATAGCTGAAGATTTCCAAATTTCACTGGCATTAATATCAGCATAAAAACTGTTAGGCAGGAACTTCATGGAATGGGTTTCCATGGCCGAGTAACTGCATGCAAGCCTCACACAGGACTGTCTTTAACATTGATTGGACCCTGGGCAAGCATTTGCTTGGGCCCCCTGGATCCTGCCCTTCCCCTCCACACATTTCCACCCCCTGGCATGCAGTCATGCCCTCCACCCCAATACAGTGGCATAACTAATGTAGAGAAGGCCCAGGTGCAAGACATTTTTTTGGGCCTCCCATCTAGCACAATAATGGAGAAAAGATAGATCCTCATCTGTTGTACAGTTCCCACGATGGTATGCCAGTTGGGGATCTACCATTTGGTCATTCTTGCAGGGCTGTATTTGTGAGCAGTGTTTGTAAATTTGAATGTGAGCATGTTGTTGTATAGAGTATGTGTGTGCATGTACGGTGTAGTATTGGTGTTAGAGTGAAGGGGTGTG